CATCAGACCACGTCGTGCCCAGTGTCATGCCCGTGTTTTCGATCACGATCGAATCATTAAAAAATATATAGAAAATGCCTTTTTTACTGTTGATTCTGGAAAATAAATCCCTGTACGAAAATAAACACAACATAACTAAATCAGAATTGATAAATTGCTAACACAGGAAAATTAATAAGTAAATAGTGTCAATCTAGAACAGTAATCAACTGGGTTTGGAGGAGGGCGAACAACCTTTCCGATATGAGGAGTGGATTGTTGCGTTGAAGTCGCCGAGGAGTATCCATGGATTATGGATGTTATGTGCAAGCGCATAGAGGTGTGGAGTGGTTTCCTCTTTAAGGCATTTGGACTTGCGTGGATTAATGCTGTAAGGGTAGTGCTGTCATATTACTTGCTTTGGATACTGAAATGAAGGAATTTAAAGTGGTTAAGGAATATCTCAAAGTGGCCCTTGTTTGACCAATAAAGCCATATACCTCTTGAAAATCCCAAGGCTTCGATTCGATGAGAGTTTGGGAAGCCAAGGGAGGTGATGATAACTTCTGCTTTAGCTCGGCTTATGCATGGTTCAACAGTGGCAATGATGTCTAGCATGTTATCGCGGATAAATTATTTTGCAACTTGTTTGAATTTTGGGTCTCCGCAACCCTATGTATTCCATACTAGAATCTTAATAATTAGAGATAATTTGGTGAATTGGATTCCTGGCACCACTGGTTTGGTCTAACATTCAGCATGGATGACTGCATGGTCTTTCTCGGACGTACATTGAGTGGCAGAAGTTATCAACATTTTGATGGGGCCGTGTTATTCTCTAGGGGTGGTTTTTCTAAATTCTATTGTTCTAATAAGATGTTTTAATCTGGGGGTTTTCATAGAAGTGATGGTGATTTGGTTATTTGAGGGATGATAGTCGGGATACAGGGGCAGCGTTCTCATATAGTATTCCAACGATATGTGCGGATGGGGTCGAAGCTAGGCTGGTTTTGAGTTGAAAGGGTAGAGGTAGAGCAAGTGTTGACATCGGTGGGATATGACTGACGGGGGGATTCTTGGAAGTTTTAGTTGCAGAGGCTTGAACGTTAACAGAGATTGATTTATTTATGGGGATGGACCCTCTTGACTTTTGTGTCCGGAGTTCAGTTGAGGTTTTGGCACGATACGGGGCTGGGATTTTTAGCTTTAGGAGTTTGATCCTTGGTGATGTTGGTTGGTCACTAGCACCCGAGGGTTCAGTAGTTGGTGGGTCTAAGGGGTTATCTTCAGTTAGGTCATGTATTGGGTAGAAACGAGAGCCAAGGGCTGTGATGCTTTGTTTTTCATGTCTAGTGGTGGTGTCCCTCGTGTTAGTGTGTCGTTGACGTCTTTCTACAATCATCCAAGGTCTAAAGTATGAGCTTTCGGGTGAGGCAGAAGGGGTTAGGGAGTGTCTTAGTCTGGGGTGTGGGTTCGATTGAAGGAAAGATGTCTTTAACATGTTCATATTTTCCACACGTAAAGCAGATAATAGGTAGGACTTTGTATTCAACAGTATGGAAGTGATCGTTAATCAGGATTTTTGAAACAAATGGTTTTTCGAGGTCGATGTTGATTATTATACGTGCAAATCTACCACTATGGTAACATTCAGTCTGAAAATACAGTTTGACTATTTTTCCTATGCATTCTCCGATCTCAATTATCAGACTGTGTTTGTAGAGGGTAGGTGGTAGGCCAGGGAGTCGTATCCAAGCGATAATTCTGGTTGGGTGTGATTTTGACATGGTGAAGTCGATTGTCCATGGTTCAACGAGAAGGTATTGACAAAAGATCATCCATGGTTCATCCGTGAGGGCGATCATGAAATCGGTATGGTCATGAGTAAATCCCAACGGTGAAGATATTACCCACGACTGTGCAACCAACATACTGTGGAGGTGGCTTCAGCCAACGGTGGATGACAGAGATTGGAGAGATGAAATCCGCGACAGCCGAAGATTATTTTCGTAGATTTTGTGATGATCAGAATAGTTTTTGGGGAAACAAATGAATAATTTGACTTCGAGGGACCAAAATGGTTTGAGCTTGCTCCTTTTTTGTGATGACCACAACGACGATGGTCACCAGTGATTGGTTTTCGATTTAACATTTTTTCTTTTTTTCAGTGTTAAATTGCAATCACAAAATTAAACTCATTTTAAATGGTTTTTTGGCCCAATAGGGCAACCTGAAAAAAATAGGAAATAGGGCATATTGCCTTTTAATTTGGGATCTACGTCATTTGTTACAGTGTAGGGCAAACTCGTCACCTCGAAGTGACAAGTTTCTTGAGATATATTATTTTAATGGACCCGGATAAGTAAACCCCCACGTGGGTCATTAATTTATTGTATTTATAGGGACTTGTCACCTCGAGGTGACGAGTTCCTTCGAATTAAAAAAATTAATTGTTTTGTAGTCGTTGGTCAACGGTCATTTGGGCAACGGTCAAGAGAGAACTCGTCACGTCGAGGTGACGAGTTCTTTCAGATTAAATTAAAAATAAATAAATTAATTACAAAGTAAATTAATACACTTATTAAAATAACATTGTTTACAAACTAATAAAATTTATTTATATTTCCTAAGTTCTTCACGATGCCGAGGAGTGGTGGAATGATAATGGGGCGAGGCTCATCGAGTATGCTAGTGTAATCGGCCTTGATTGTTGTCATCTCCATCATCTTCATCATCCTTATCTTGGGTTGGTTGTTAAAAAAAGAGGTGTACTTAATACACTCTAAGATCCACCTTCAAAATACAGGGATGTACTTATGGTATTTGACGTCATCATTGTCGTTATTGAATCGACTTGGCTACCTTATTGACCATATATGATATGATATCATTCACCCTGACCCATATGTTCTGTATAAGATTCTTGAGTATGTTGGACTGCATCCCATAAAGGTCCAACCCAAGTAGGTTGAGTCTCGGTTGTAGTATGATATGAAGTATAGAAAACGAAACTAACCTGAGATGCATGATAGTAATCTTCAGATGCAGATGCTGAAGTAGAAGAAGAAGATGACTTCTTCGATTTGGTAAATCTGGCTTGTGTTGTTCCCATTCTCTTATTTGTTTTGGTGTTATGAGATATGATTTCCCATTATTTTTGTAATTCTGGAGATAAGGAGAATGGTCGAAATCTAGGCCTGTAGGCGTAATCTCGTAACACATATGAACCAATAATTGATGTTGATTCCACTACTCAATGTAGATAGCGTGCTTCGTTTGCCAATCATCGTTATGTTTCCCATGCAAATCAATTCTATGGAGGCTATCAATATCCTATATTTGCATAGGAATCAGTTAATGAGACGTAAATTGTTGCAACACTCTACCAACAGCGTATTGTCAATAATCAGAAAATGCAATATAGGTGTCATAGTGCACCATAAATCAAAACCCTAAAAAAATCTCAGTGGTAATTACGGGTAGATCTCATTCTCACAATAAAAAAGCCAACAACACTGTACATATTAATGATAAAAGTTAGTATATATAAAATTAAATAATTTCAAAATAATAAACTAAGAACTAATATTTACTGCATGTCGATCCTCATCCGTATATCGCTTTTTGTCGCACACGACAACTTCATCTCCATTATTTTATGGTGACATCTAAAAAATAAAAAATGATTAAAAACATAAGAAAAATATATTAAAAAATCCTTTTAAAAAAAAAGCAAAGTTGAAAATTTACCTTACAGTCAGAGAAAACTCGATCGGGGCTGTTGTAATCAGCGTAAAAAACGACAACCAATATTGTAGCAATATTAGACAACTTGCTACATCGGCTTTTCAACCCCGCTGGAATTACGACACTCATGGAGATCATTTAATATGGGAAGATACTGAGTTGCACCAAATTACCGTATTTATCCGGTAATAATATCCCTTCGATCTGTTGGAGAAGATATGTTCGAGATGCAAAAATAACCTCCTCCTCAGTAGAGTCATCCATCACTTGAAATTTAGACCCTAACCATGTCATCCGTATCCGATAGTCGTCAATGATCTCAGATGGTAGTTGTCTTTACAAAACTTCATAGAGCAAAGCGATGGGGTTGTAATCGTTCCATCTGACGACAATGGCACCATTAACAGTAACATCAAGTTGATAAGCGACGTCTTCCAAAGTAATCGTCGTTTCACCACTCGGGAAATGGAAAGTGTGTCTCGGGCCTCCAACATTCAATTAGAGCCGAAATCAACGCCAGGTACACCTTAAAACCACGTAAAAATATGGTTGGATATAAACCGGATTGTTGAAGATATATCATCATCCGCTTATGCGGACCTTTCGATGTCATCCCGTGCTGACATATGCTTAGTTCTTCTTCCGGACGAATTTCGACCGACGAAATATTAACATCATCGAGGCGTAACATTTAATCTCGGAAAGCCATTTTTCAAGATTTCTTTAGGAAGTTTGAATTTTGCTAGGATGGTGAAAAATCTAAACCCCCTATTTATAACCCTAACTCCATCGACCATCTTCAAAATAATAAGGAAAAACTCGTCACCTCAATGTGATGAGTTTCATTGTGACTGTCGCCTAAGTGACTGTTGACCAACGACTACAAAACGATTAATTTTTTAATTCGTAGAAACTCATTACATCGAGGTCACGAATTATAGTATATTATTTTTTAAAAAATTAAATTAATTTTTTTACAATACTTAAAAAATATTATAACTTTTTTAATAGACTCGATATGACGAGTCCCTATAATTATAATAAATTAATGACTCATGTGAGGAGAGATCTACTCATTTACATCTTTTAAAATAATATATCTCAATTATCACATCGAAATTATAAATTCACTCTACTATGTAATAAATATTGTAGATTTTAAATTAAAAGATATAGGTGTCCTATTTCCCTATATATTTTTTTCAGGCTGCCCGATTGCCAAAAAAAAAAAAAACCCCCATTTTAAATTCCAATTGCAAAACAATTCCTGCCTTCCTCTCCAAGCTCGAGTCGACGACTCCCAGTCCCCTAAGAAACTTCGAGGAGATTACTGATAAATGTCTAAACTCTGGAGGTATAAAAAAGAAATTGCATTTCACTATCTGGATTAATTCTTAGTTAAGAAACTTTCATATTTCTTGAATTTTTAGTTTGTGTTTCCACCAAGATCGCCATGGCAGCAGATTTAGCCGGAGGGGCTGCCGTAGGGGCAGTTTTTGGAGAGCTACTCAGTGGCGTTGTGGAGGCGAGTCGGACAGTTGCCATGTTTCGTGGTACCTTGAAGGAACTGGCATCCACGCTATCATCTATCGAGCCAGTGATCAAACAAATAGAATCCTTCGACAAAGCGTCTGATAAAGAGCACGAAACGAAGCAGCTCGTCGAGATCATCGATAAAGGTCAGAAACTCGTTGGCAAGTGCTGCAAAATCCGCTGGTGGAATCTCGTCAAGAAGGCTTATTATGTGAAAAAGCTAAGTGGATTGAACAAATCGATTGAGAGGTTCTGCAGTATTGATATGCAAACACATCAAATGAGGGAGTTGAAAGAGATGCAAGTTGAAATTAGAAGATTGGGTTCTAATGAAGGGTTTAGCTACGGGAATGGGATGTTCAGTAAGGTTGCAGTTGTGGTGGGTTCATGTAAAGCTCCTGAGCCGCCGGAGATCGTTGTTGGATTCGATGAACCCTTGAACGTGCTAAAGATGAAGCTTTCTAAAGATGGGGTTTCAGTCATTGTTGTATCTGGTCCTGGTGGATCCGGGAAGACGACGTTGGTTAAGAAGCTTTGTCAAGATAAACATGTCAAAGGTATCATTCCCCGAGCTTTGGTTACGTTGTCTACACTTGACTTTAGTTTGTTGTTATTGATCAGTGTTACCTGTTTTGTTCGCTTTGGTTTGTAGAACGAATACGAGATCATAATTAGTTAATTTTACTGTTTACAATTCATTAAAGGGCTTTTTAAGCAGAATTTAGGATTATGATTCGTTAGGTGAAATAATTTGATTAGTTGGGATAATTTAGTGACGATTGATTCATTACATAGATTAAAAATGAACTTTTCTCCTTCCATTGCTTAAAGAACTGTGCAACACTGCAACTTAAATTTGTCTTCCTTCCGATGATAGTACATAAATTGTGGTGCTAGAATCTAGATGCTTCTTTATCGTCCCTCATTATTGACTTTGTTTGCCTTTGTTGTGCTGGGTTTTCGGTAAACTCTTTAGATCCTTCCATTACTCAAACTAACCTCGAACAAATTCAAATGAGATTCGTGGGAGTGGGAGTGGGGGGGTGAATTTAGTAACTGTTCTTGACTAGTTAGATTGTTTATTAGATGCACATCTATTGATTGTTCTTATGATTGCCAGTTAAGAAAATGCTGCAGATTATCTTTGAATATTTTGGCAGATTTCTAATGCACTGCTTTTGAACAGAAAAGTTTAATTACAACATCTTCTATTTCAATGTTTCAAAATCGCCCAATCTGGAGGTCATTCTGAAGAGACTACTCCATGTTATGGATCCTAGTGGAGTGCCTGAATTTCGAAGTGAGGAAGATGGTCTGAACCAATTGAAACATAAATTAGAGAACCTAGCAATGAATTGCATGTTACTGGTCCTGGATGATGTTTGGTCTGGATGCATAACCCTTGTTGACAAGCTCATGTTTAACTTGCCAAATTACAAGATCTTGGTAACATCAAGATCTGCCTTTCGAAGATTCGATACGTATTATTTGAAACCACTAGATGATGATTATGCTATGACCCTTTTCCATCGCTCCGCATTCCTGCAAAACGATACGCGTTGCATACCGGGATATATCGTGAATAAGGTGTTTTATCAATCTGAAAACTTATTTTATCAAGAAGATATCCTGCAGAAATGACATGTTGTGTCTTGAAATTCTAGGTAATGGGAAGCTGCAAAGGACTTCCATTGGCGCTTGAAGTGGTCGGTAAGTCTCTTTGCGGGCAGCCTGTCGCAATGTGGCGAAAACAAGCAAAACAGCTTTGTAAAGGACTATCCATCTTGCATTCTAATGCTGATCTACTTGCTTATCTTGAAAGCAGTTTGGATACCCTGGATACTCAGTCAGGAATAAAGGATTGTTACCTAGACTTTGGTTCATTCCCCGAAGATCACCAGATTCCTGCTGCTGCACTTATCGATATGTGGGCAGAACTGTATGAACTTGATGAAGATGATGCCATTATCAACCTCAACAAGCTCTCTGATCGAAATCTGATTAATCTTGTACTCATTAGGTATGGTGCTAGTTGGTTCATACTTTATTCTATTATACAGGACAAATCCTCAAGACCTCAACCCTGCTTACAATTCAGGTATTTGAACTATTGTTGTTTATTCAATAGGAAGGATGATCAAAGTGAAGTCGATGACTGCTACAACGATCTTTTCATCATGCAGCATGATCTTCTGAGAGAGCTCGCTATCTATCAGAGTGGGTTGGATCCTGTAGAAAAACGAGAACGGATAGTCGTAGAGTTATCCGGAAACAATTTTCCGAATTGGTGGTCAGAAGAAAAGAAGCAACAGCTTAGTGCTCGCCTCTTGTCTATCTCCACAGGTTGTTTATCTCTACCTTCCAACTTTCAGACATACACAACTCAGATATTTATGTCCTGCCATTCGTTTTCACAGATGCAACATTCTCATTCAATTGGGGCTACATTCAAGCACCAGAAGTTGAGGTTTTAGTTCTCAATTTTCGGACAAAGAACTGCAGGTTACCAGTCTTCATGGAGAAAATGGATACATTGATGGTTTTGATTCTCATGAACGATGGTATTTACCCGACAGAAGTAAGTAATTTTCAGCTTCTGTATTCTTTATTCAATCTAAAGAGAATTAGATTAGAGAAGGTTTCGGTTCCATCTCTCGGTTCGAGCTCTTTCCACCTCAAGAGTTTGCGAAAGATATCGTTGGTTATGTGTAACATCAGTCAGGCTTTCAAAAAGGGTACAAACAAGATGTCGGATATTTTTCCGAATCTTTCGGAAATTGAGATCGACTATTGTGATGATCTGGTGGAACTCCGCGAAGGATTGTGTGATCTTGTTCAACTGACAAAGCTTAGCATCACCAATTGCCACAAGCTCCGTGCACTGCCCGAAGGAATTGGAAAGCTGGTGACCTTGAATGTGCTAAGACTGACATCCTGTACTGAACTCATGACATTGCCCGAGACCATCGGGAACTTATGCCGGCTCACTCTTCTTGACATTTCCGACTGTCTAAGCATGACGAACATGCCAGCTCAGATAGGTGAACTGCACAATCTAAAGAAGCTATATATGACAGGGTGCTCGGGTTGTAACCTACCTCCAACGATCACAATGCTTCAACATCTGAAGGAAGTTATATGTGATGAGGAGACAGCCTATCAATGGGAGTCTTTCGGATCGAATCCCGATTTAAGGGTAACAGTTCCTAAAGAAGATATCAACTTAAATTGGCTTCAGACATTTATGTAAAGCTTCATGCCATGAACAGATGGAAACAATGGACAATGAAACCGGCATTGGTGTAACTAGACTGCAGTTTCTGTCCGATCCTTTGCCGGCATCCCACCATTTTCTTGCAGTGATGTCTGTGCACTTTGACATGTTTTTATTCCTATATATTCTTCAAATCAAGTGTGAAAATGATTCCAGAGAACGTAAAATGACTGTTTTTAGTGAACCACTTGGTTAGTTTCAATGGAATGTCAACTGATCAGGCTGATCATACAGTGCCAAAGATTAGGATTCTCAACCGGTCCTATATTCCTCTTGGATAAACAAAGATTGTGTCATGGCGGCTACCTCTTATGTTCATCCAAGAGACAAGTAGAAACATAATCATACATTAGCATCACATTATTAGGCTGCTTGTTTTGTAAGAATATTAATTTATTCACTTCATTTTATGTCTTTCAAGTTTATATTCTTCATCACTTGTCTATTTGGATGAGTCACACAGATTGAACCTCTCATCCAAGGTATTGGCGTAATAACATTTTTAGTCCTTATATTTTTCATGAATTTTTTTTCATTATGTTATTTCTAGACATTCGTTTTCTTTATCAAATTGATTTCAATGATGAAAAAGTATCATCCCTATCAGGGATGGACTAGGCCCCTAAAAATTTAAAATTTTTGTATATATTAGATTTTTTTATATATTTTCTGTTGAAAATCTATTTTTGCGTCCTTAAAATTTTATAAGTTCGCTTCCCTAATATAAGATCTTAAGTCCCTCTCTGGTCCCAATGCTGATGTAATTGCCCGAAAGTGTTTTTTCTCCTTTCTTCTCTACTTACACATTCTTTATCTTGAAATTTACGTTTATTCTAGGATCAATGTGTTTGTTGAGTCCGGTTAAAATATTTGTCTCGAGATATGATATATTAGATTAAATTTGTGTCAACATTTGATGGTAGTACTCATTATTATTACTCATATATTTCTGGTTTGCTTAACAATTAGCATAATAGTATAACGTGATCAAGATAAAATTATAAATATAAAATTATAAATATAAAATTAAATAAAAATGTGTTAATTTATTAATTAAATTATTAATTTTGTATAAAACTGAAAATTAAAAAAATCCAATTAACTAGAAGGTTTATATTAAATTATCATTTATAAGATAGAAAATTAAAATTTTCCCATTAAATCAAGGGGCCAGTGATAAAGTTAATTTCTTGGAGAAATTGACAACTATAGATGCTTTTGATCTGGAAAATTAAGAAAATGAAGAGGAACTTATTCTGTAATCTTTATCAGAATTATGATCAACTTGCACAACAAAACATGAAAGACTGGCTTTGGAGATTATATGAGTGAGTCCCTTGCTTCCTAATTTTCTTCAAAGTCAGATGTATATCTTACAAGGCAAGTCTCATGTATCTCTCCTTCAAAGGCTTCATCAATATCAATCTGTCATGTGTGAAAGCTTAATGAATTTGTTTGCAGATGACGATTGAGTTGAGGATGGGACCATTGTCGGAGAGATCCCATGGGACATGTCTTGAACTCTGTCGATATGGATCAGCTATGAACCAACAACAATTTTTTCTTATACAAATTCAGACAGTTCATGTCTAACACCGTTTTCTGTCTCTCCATGAACAGTTCATGTCATACATGGCACACCAAAGATACATAGAGCGAAAAAGGTTATGTCTTCCATCGACTTCGTTGAAGCAAAGCCTTTGCACTTCCTTCGATCGCTCTCTTGCACAAGTTCACTGGCTTGTCACTGCAATAATGTTTTTATGGCGTCTTCTCTCTTCAATCAAGAAGGTAATTTTTTTTATTCAAATAAGAATGGATAAATATTCCATACTTTTATATTGTTGGATGGGATTTGACTGACAATGTTTTGGAGCTGTATGTCAAATATGAACATGGCATATCCATACCTAGTATCTAATTGAAAAAAAAAAAGAAAAAAGAAAAAAAAGAGACATCTTATGCGAAATCCCCATAATGATGCTGGTCCAATAATACCCTTAACTCAAAACTGCAGGTTAGGCCTTATGTCACCCATAAGTTTACATGTGATTTGCAGGCATTTCAGCCTTATACTAATGGCAATAATAAGTGCCCCTCGTTTAATAGCAAGATAAGAAAGTCCAAGGCTCCGTTATTAAGAACTAACATGGAGGAAAGAAGCATAATAACTATCAAGTGGCAATTTGCACACACTCTCATAATACATAAACTTTAACCCCCTTAATAATTACCTATTGTTTTCAAGTATACCGAATCCTCGTTTAAGCAAAGGTAGATCTTGTTTTCTTTACCATGGTGACTGATTCATATAGGCCTTCCAGCATATTGAATTCCATCTTCATGTCGACGGTCAACATGATGGTAAAGATGCTGGTCTCGGTGGCGTCAAGCTCAAAAGCTGACAACACAGAGAAATGGAAGATAGCTGATCATTTGAGGTTCATGGTCATGCTAATAACTGTTGGGGAAATCGGGTTATTTCCCACACAAACGTAGTTTCAAAATTGATCTAAAATGTCAAGATCAAAACCACCAAAGGTTTTCCAATAAGTTGGCCACCAACCAAGATGAATTTTCCAATAAGTTGGCCACCAACCAAGAAAAAATTTCCAACTTGCTAAACTTAATTTCAAACCAAACATAACAAATCTCCACCTTGGCTTGAAATTACCAAGCCTACTCAACTTCTTCAACTCCCCAAATTTTATGTTGTGCCTCTAATTGCGCTCACAAGTGCCACACACCCGAAGGTGTTCATACTTTCAGGATGTTAATCAAGTTCAAACAATGATTGAACTTGATTACTGTTACTACCTTGGTCATCATATCTGCAGGATTTTCTGCTGACTCAATTTTCTGAAGCAAAATCTTTCCTTCTTCAAAGATCTCCCGCACAAAGTGACACCTCACGTCGATATGCTTAGTCCTTGAATGGTAGACTTGATTTTTCTCTAAGTGAATAGCGCTCTGACTGTCACAATAGAGACTAATGTGACTTTGAAAAACTCTCAAGTCTTCCATCAACCCGTTAAGTCAAATTACTTCCTTCACAGCTTCTGAAATTGCCATGTATTTTTCCTCTGTAGTAGACAAAGCCACCGTAGATTGTACAGTAGACTTCCAACTTACTGGGGCTTTAGCAAGAGTGAACAAACACCCAGTAGTTGATCGACGCTTATCCAAATCACCACCATAGTCGGAATCAACATATCCAACCACACACTGACCAAGTGCTTCATCCTGTTCAAAAATTAAACCAACATCCACGGTTTGTTGGAGATACCGTAGAATCCATTTCACAGCTTGCCAATGTCCTTCTCCAAGATCATGCATGTACCTGCTCACAACTCCAACTGCTTGTGAAATGTCAGGACGCATATACACAATTGTATACATCAAGCTCCCAACTGCATTAGCATATGGAACTTTTGCCATATACTCTCGTTCTTCCTTAGTTTTAGGAGATAATTGAGAACTAAGTTTCAAATGAGAAGCCAGTGGGATACTTACATGTTTGGTATTTTCATAATGCCAAAACATTGTAATACCTTTCTCAGATACTGCTTCTGTGTTAAACAAAGCTTCCCTCTCTGTCTATCTCTGTTTATCTCTATACCAAGAATCTTCTTGGCCTCACCTAGATTTTTCATCTCAAACTCTTGATTCAACTAAGCCTTTAATTTGTCTATCTCCTTTTGACTCTTCGAAGCGATCAACATATCGTTAACGTACAAGAGAAGACAAATGAAAGATCCATCTTTGAGTTTTTGCAAATACACACAATGATCATATTTGCTTCTAGTGTACTTTTGCCTCCTCATAAAGCTATCAAATCACTTGTACCACTGCCTCGGAGATTGCTTCAATCCATATAGCGATTTGTTCAGCTTACAAACCCATTTCTCACAACCATCATCTTTTTATCCTTCCGGCTGAGTTATATATATCTCATCTTCTAAATCACCGTACAAGAAAGCCGTCTTTACATCAAGTTGGGCTAGCTCCAAATTCAACTATGCTACTAAGGCTAACAATATTCTAATGGAGGAATGCTTCACAACAGGGAAAATCCTTCATTATATTCGATTCCCTACTTTTGAGCGGAGCCTTTAGCTACCAACCATGCCTTGTAGCGAATATCTTTCTTGTTATGAGATCTATCTTTCTTTGCAAATACCCACTTGTATCCAATTCTCTTTTACCTTTCAGTAATTGTGCCAGTTTCCAAGTGTTATTCTTTTAGAGAGATTATATTTCTTCATCCATGGAACTTTTCCACTTATCACTTTTCAAGCTTTGTATTGCTTCTTGGTAAGTGATAGGAATATCATCATCAACAACTGGAAGAGCATAGGCCATCATATCAACAAATCGAGCAGGTCTACGAATTTCTCTCATTGGCCTTGTAATTGCAAGTGGTTCTGGTGTCTCCAATGGTTCTTGGGTTTTAACCTCTTTATCTTCTGATTCTTCTATTGGATTTGAAGAATCAGCTGTATCAACTTCTGGGATCATCGTCTGCTAAAACTCCACCGGTTTTGGAGTATGCTCCACCTGCTACAGAGTACTACTTGTCTGGAAAACTTCATTTGTTACCTTATTTACTAGGGCAGATTCATCAAAGGTAACATCTCTGCTACAAATTATCTTCTCGGTGTCTAAACACCAAAGGTGGAATCCCTTCACTCCATGGGTGATTCCAATAAAGAGAACCTTCTTTTCTCTCGGATCAAGCTCGAATTCCTTCACATGATAATAAGCAGTGGATCCAAATACATGTAAGGAATCATAATCAGTAGCAGGTTTTCCAGACTATACCTCCAATGGTATTTTTCCTCCTATCGCTGATGATGGCAGACGATTGATCAGATGGCCAGTATATGTCACAGCCTCAGCCCAAAATACCTTGCCTAACCTAGCATTAGACAACATACATCGAACTTTCTCCAATAGTGTTTGATTCATATGCTCTGCCACCCCATTCTGTTGTGGTGTATTTCTAATAGTGAAGTGTCGAACAATACCATACTCATGGAAAGCGTCAAAGAATGGGTCACTTTTATATTCCCCTCCATTATCTATCCTAAGATGTTTGATTTTTCTACCAGTTTGGTTCTCGATCATATTTTTCCATTTCAGGAAAATTCGAAGCACTTCATCTTTAGACTTCATCGGATACACCCAAACTCTTCTGGAAAAGTCATCTACAAAAGTTACAAAATAATGGTTTCCTCCCAAAGACGATGTCTTTGAAGGACCCCATACATCTGAGTGAATATAATCTACAATACCTTTTGTATTATATATAGTGGTGCCAAGCTTCACTCTCTTCTGCTTTCCCATAACACAATGCTCGTAAAAGTTCAATTTGCAAGCCTTTTCCATTTCAACAATCTTTTCTTTTCCAGAATTTGCAAGGATTTCTCTCCAGCATGTCCCAACCGCATATGCCACAACTGAGTTGCGTCCAAATCATCACCTCCGGAAGCTGCTGCAACTGCTCCAATAATTTTACTACCTTGGTAGTAATACAAATTATTTTTCCTAATGCCCTTAATCATCACAAGTGCGCCATATGTGACTTTTAAAACTCTATCTCTCATAGTAACTATTGAGCCTTTGGATTCCAAGGCTCCCAATGAGATGAGATTTTCTTCAAACTGGTCACATATCGAACATCAGTCAGAACTCTGGTTGATCCATCTTGATTATTAAATCGAAATGAACATATCCCAATAGTTTTATAGGCATTGTCATTGCCCATATAAATAACTCCTGCATTTAGTTCTACTAAATCGGAGAACCACTCCCGATTAGGAGACATATGATAGGTACAACCCGAATCTAATATCCACTCATCTTAATGAAATGTTGTTGATGAAGCAACCAATGATATATCAGAGTCATTTGCATCATGCTCTGCAACACATGCATCTGGAGTTGCTTTTCATTTCTTCTTCAGCTTCGGACAATCTTTTTTCCAATGGTCTTTCTCATGAAAAAAAGCACATTCATCTTTTCCCATTCTGGACTTTGACTTTGATCTCCCTCTCCACTTTGGCTTTTGACTTTTTGAGCGACCTCTTGCCACCATGGCCTCCGATGCTTCGTACTTTCTCTCTTTCTTGGTTTTCTTTTTGAGCTCATAACTATACAAAACAACAGTTACATCTTTAAGGGTAACATTATCTTTACCATGAAGTAACGTTGTCTCAAGGTGCTCAAATTCATCTGGAAGAGATGACAACAACATCAAGGCCAAATCTTCATCTTTGAAGGTTTCATCCATGCCCAATAAGTCTGCCACTAGATCATTGAACGTAGTGATGTGTTCATTCATACTGGTTCCTGGTTGATAATCAAATCTGAACAATATTTTCTTCATGTAGAGACGATTCTGAGAGCTTTTCTTTAGGAATTTTTCTCCAATGCTTTCCACATCTTACTTGCAGAAGTCTCATTTTTGTAGACATACTTCTGCTCCCTGGAAAGACAAGATCGAATCGTGTTGTACGCTAAACGATTAATTGTTCCCCATTCTTTTTCCTCCATATATTCAGGCTTTTCTTCCTCAATAGAGATCTCTAGACCTTGTTGGAATAAAGCGCCTAACACCTCACCTTGCCACATGCCAAAATGACCGAATCCATCGAACAACTCCACCGAGAAATTTGTATTTGACATCACCCTCCTCACCGGTCCAGATGAAGATCTTGATGTCTCAACTGATTCGTATTTTGACATTTTAATTCTAACGAACAATATTCAATATCACGAATTGTATCTTTTCAGTAACGAAACCACCAGAATAACCTCAACCGAAGCTCTGATGCCAATTATTAGGGAAACCGGGTTATTTCCCACACGAACGTAGTTTCAAAATTGACCTAAAATGTCAATATCAAAACAACCAAAGGTTTTTCCAATAAGTTGGCCACCAACCAAGATGAATTTTCCCATAAGTTGGCCACCAACCAAGATAAAATTTCCAACTTGCCAAACTTAATTTCAAACCAAACATAACAATAACTTGGTTGATGGCGTGGGAACTTAGGGTGATGATGGATCTCTTCCCTTGGTGTCTGAGTTCCTCACTGGACTATATCGTAGGTGGATCGTTGCCATCCGTCGGGCTTTTCCAGGTAGCTTCGTATTCATCATCAGTAGTAGCAGAAGAATTGTCATTGCCATCTTCTGGTTCATGGATCGAAGTTGATGGATTAGCTGCCAAAGCCTTGGTAAAATCATTAACTCATGTAAGTTTACGACTCCATTAACATCAATTTTGTTCAAGCATTCACCGAATATGTCACCTAATCTGGTCCATCAAGGAAGAACATATGATGGTGACAATAGTGAAAAACCCTTTGGTTTTTAAAGGAAAAGTAAGTACATGAACGTCCAGTCTAATAGGGGACCAATGCCACTTGTCTTTCCTTTTAAAGAGGCTGAGAAACATTTGGTCTTGGTATAATGAATATCACAAGCATCGATGCTCATTTTGCAGGTATTGGCCTTGGTGAATGAGGTACCAACTTCATCGACAAAATACCAATTCATAATGGCAATGGCTGAGAAGATCATGGAGGATAATGCAAGACACGGCCACTCGACTCTTCTCCATATTAATCGATCAGCTTTTACTTCGTCTTTTACTCGTACTTCCACCCTGTTACACCGCTGCCTGCAATGCCAAACCTCACCCTCGGGAGACTACGGTGACTCATGGCTCATGCGAGTCATCAAGCCTATTCCTTCCAGATTATGCGTAGCTTCGTACGTGAAGGTCATCGTCGTGTGCTTCGATGCCACGTATTTGTTGTTCGACGCTGCCAAGGTGCGTTACCGGGGGAGGAATTACGGTGGAGAGTGAGAAATAATGGCTGAGAAGTTGGTAAGGAGTTGCTGTGGGTAACCAAAAACTTGGGTGTTATGAGGATGTTAATAAAGCGTTAGTTCAATGGAGTTTGGCTTCTCTTTATCTCACTGCTAGTCCTACAGTTCAAGGCTCCATTGTTAAGATCTCAGGTCATTCACCTTCTCTCTCTATCTATCTACAATAGTTAAGTGGTCAAATTTTTCAAAAGGTCTCTATACTATGATTTTTTTGGATTTAGTCCTCCTATATAGTTTGATCATTTCTAATTCGTATCTTTGGAAAAGTGTATACCACGCTTACTTAGAGTTTGTTCGTTGAATGTAGGCACATTAAATGCTAGGCTGCTGGAGCTGACTGATGTACTTAGTAATAGGAAAATAGATTTTGCATGTATTCAGGAGACTAGGTGGAAAGGGGCTCGCGCCAAATAGTGTAATGGGTACAAGTTGTGGTATTCAGGCGTAGATAATGCTAGAAATGGGGTGGCTATCTTGGTATCCTCTAAGCTCAAGAAAAATGTAGTTGAAGTTTGTAGATATCAAGATAGGATCATGATGATTAAGGTTATTATAGAAGCGGAAGTGGTAAATGTTCTTTCAGTGTATGCCCCACACGTTGGCCTAGGGGAGGGGGAAAAATGTTGCTTCTGGGATCAGTTAGATGATGTACTTAGGAGCATTCCTGAGAACCAAAGAGTTTTCATAGGGGGAGACTTCAATGGTCATATAGGTAGTGCAACCGACGGGTATGACGATGTTCATGGGGGTTTTAGTTTTGGTAGTAGGAACGAGGAGGGGCGTACGTTGCTTGAATTTGCTATTGTACACGATATGGTGGTCACTAGCTCCTTCTTTAACAAGAGAGATGTGAACTTGATTACGTTCCATAGCGGGAGATATTGTACCCAAATCGACTACATCCTGGTTCAAAACCGGGATCGATGGGCTTGCATTGACTGTAAGGTGTTCCCTGAAGAGGCATGTGCATCACAACACAGATTGTTGGTTTTGGTGTTCCGCGTACGCCACGGGCGGAGCACTCATAGGAGGGCTAAAATTGGTAAACCTAGGATCCTTTGGAAGAACTTACAGGGAGTGACAGCTGATGACTTTAGGAGTAAGGTTTTGTCTAATACAGGTTTTGGAACTCCAAACTCAAATAATGCAGATATGTTATGGAAAAATATGGTAAATTCCATCAGAGAGGTGGGCAAAAACACCATTGGGTTGTCGATAGGCAAGATCAATGAGCATAAAGAATCGTGGTGGTGAAACGACGAAGTCCAAACTAAGGTGAAGACAAAGCAAACTTGCTTCAAGGAGTATCTACAATGCAATGATGACGAAGAAAGATTGAGAGCTCAACAAATATACAAGGAGGCAAAGCGGGAAGCAAAGAAAACGGTGGCTAAAGCAAAGGATAAGGCATACGTTGAAATGTACAAGAGATTAGACACAAAGGAAGGACAAAACAGCATCTTCAGGCTAGCAAAATCCAGGGAGAATAACAAAAAGGATCTAGGTAGCATTAGATTTATTAAGGATAATAATGGAGTTCTTTTAGTGAAAGATCATTATATTAAGAGTGTTTGGGGTAGTTACTTCTTTGGCTTATTTAATGACGGTGCCTCTCTCTGTAGAAATAGTATCGTTAATGGGTCAGCCGACCATCATACTACAACCAATGACTTCCCTACAAGTAGGATTGGGTTTGAGGAAGTCAAAATGGCTCTTAGAAAGATGGCGAGGGACAAGGCTATCAGTCTAGATCAAATTCCAATCATTGTGTGGTTGGCCCTAAGAGAAGAGGGAGTTAATTGGTTGACCAACATCTTTAATATTATTTTAAAGACTGCCAAGATGCCAGAGGAGTGGAGACAGTCTACGGTGATACCAATCTATAAGAATAAAGGAGATCCCCAATCTTGTGGCAACTACAGAGGTATTAAACTACTCAGCCATACCATGAAGCTATGGGAAAGGGTGATAGAGGCTAGGTTGAGACAAGTTACTAGGGTTTCGGAAAACCAATTTGGCTTTATGCCAGGCAGGTCTACTACAGAGGTGATTCATCTACTTCGACGACTTATGGAGAAATATAGGGAAAAAATAGAGATCTTCACATGGCGTTCATTGACCTTGAGAATGCATATGATAGTGTTCCCCACGATACTATATGGAAGACCTTGGAAATAAGACGGATCCCAACTGCTTATATCCGGGCGATTCGTGATATATACTGTAGATCTACTACATACGTCAGGACTACAGTTGGCGACACCGAGGCATTCCCGGTGAAAATCAGACTCCACCAGGGGTAGGCTCTTAGCCCTTACATCTTCGCCTTGATTATGGACGACATCTATTGTGCGACACCTGACGATGTTCCATGGTGTATGCTTTTCGCTAAGAAGGTGCCTCTAAAACTTAAAGGAAAATTTTATAGAATGGAAATAAGACCAGCGCTGCTGCATGGATCAGAATGTTGGGCAATCAAGAAGGATCACATAAGGAAGATGGAGGCCGTAGAAATGAGAATGCTTCGATGGGTATGTGGTATGACTCTGTGGGACATGACACCAAACTCTGCTATTAGGAAGTCCTTGGGGTGGTGCCTGTATCTGAAAAATTGAGGGAGAGAAGACTACGGTGGTTTGGGTATGTCCTTAGGCGACAACCGTCGGATACAATCAGGAGGGTAGAGTTGATTACAGTCGACGGTGCCAGAAGGAGAGGACGACCAAAGCGGAAGTGGGAAGACTGCTTGATATCTGATTTTGAAGGATTTAGCCCTTACCGAGGACATGACCTCTGATAGGAAAGTATGGAGACTTAAGACCAGGGTAGCCAAGTAGTGTGGGCCACATCCATAGGGTGTATCATCTCTGTCTTCTTTTAATGAATTTGTAGTAATTTACATTATCTCTACTTTTCATACGTTTTTTGTCATTAGAATTTATGAAGACTTAGAACTAGGGTAGCGGAGTAGTGTTGCCTTAATTTAGGTTTTAACCCTTTTGACTTCATTCCTTTCTCGTAGCTTGCTATCGTTGACTTCTGTGTATCATTCTCTTCATGTTTCCTCTTTTTAAATTTGGTCGGGCCTTATGTTTCTGTCTATATGCATATATTTTTACGCAGAGATTTATTTGCAGGGATTACTTCTCATTACAGACACGCATACGAAGACTGTATATGAAGAGTGTTCAACTATGTATTTATTTATTTATTTATACATGCATTGCCTTTTATCTTTATTTTTAATTTTTTGACTGCCGGAGGTCTTCCACGGAAGCTACTCTTAACCTGGCGTTGGGGACAACCTACTACCCTACCTCCCCCTTACCCCATTGCATATGAGAATAGGGTTTTGTTGTTGTTGTTGTTTACATTTGATTTGATATGAGTTTAGAATAATTTTATATGATTTAAAATTTAATTTAATTTTTGAGATAAAGACTTATATCATACTTTATTTGAGTTAAATATATATATATATATATATATATATATATATAGTTAAGTATTTTTATAATTTACTACAGCAAAACAGAGGTTTAGCGGCATTTTTTTAGTCCTAAAAACGCTTGTGGCGAAAGGGATGCTACAAGAAGTGTCGACCAAACCAGCGCCGCTATAGTTCACGGTGTTTGAGAATAAAAAACGCCACAATAGGTTAAGAACTATAGCCAAACATCGTAAAAGGTCGATATCTACAGCGGCGTTTTGGAACAAACACCGTAAAAGGTCAATATATACATCGGTGTTTTTGGAACAAACGTCGCAAAAGGTCTAGATATATAGCGTCATTTTTTTTATACAAATGCCGCAAAAGGTCAGATCTATAGCGACATTTTCGGAATAAACGCCACAAAATGTTGAGATCTATAGCAGCGTTTGCGAAATAAACACCGCAAAAGGTTAGATCTATAGCGGCGTTTTTCATCATAAACGTCACAAATTATCTAAAAATTTTGAGGCATTTTTATGTAAAACGCTGGTATTGATTATGTATTTATCTGTGTTTTTTATACAAACGCCGCTAATTAACACATAATTTACAATCATTGATTTTCGTTCTTTTGTTACCCAAAATTACATTTTCAACATGTTCCATTGTCTAACAAACATGACATCTATAACAACAAAATATAATTCCATAACAACCAACTTCAAATCCATTATAGTAAATAAAAGTTTACATTAACGTAATAGGTAATGCAGTGCAACATTGTTTAGTAACATGAACGAAACATATAACAGAAATAAGACCTAAGATGGTGGACTCTGAGGTTGAGTTTTCTGTATCATCTGCATCATAGCTTCTACTCGATTCTCAAACTCTTGACATTTATGCTGATATGATGCTTCTCTCTCTGCTTCCCTCGCTTTATTTTCAGCTTTCATGTTAGCCATTTTTTGATCCATTTCAGCCAACTATTGTTTTAAACGACTAACTTCTAGTTGGGAAGACTGAGACTGTCACGACATGTACTCAGAACTGGATCTAAAATATTTGGTGGGAGTAACGAATGATACTTGACAGCGAACCCGACCATATCTTTTAGGACCCAAAACGTCACTAATAACTTGATTTTCGATGTCATCCATATTAACAAGACCATGACTTGAAGCCGTAGCTTCATACTCCACCCTTTTATCCCTTAATTATTCCTAATAATAAAGTAAATAATTATTTCAAATAAGATTGTCAGACTATAGATATAAATAAAACATAATTCAAATTCTTTGTCCAATAAATGTATCATAATTTTTATAGCTTCAGCAGTCATAGGAGTGCCATCCTTTTTTGTATGTGTCATGTTGAAGAGTTTGATTTGTCCAACTTTAGAACCAGATGTATTTTCCTACAATGTAGCATAATATAATTAATTTTCGTTAGTATGTACATGGGAATACAAATCAGTATGTGAATAATCTATAATACCTCATCATTAGCTATACAAGCAAAGCTCTTTGATCCAGTCGTAAAAGTAAACTTTTGATGTTGCCTGCTAGCAACACCAACATGTTCTCGGTCCTAAAATTTCAAACAACCACATATAAAGTCAAAATTATAATTTGTTAATATTATTATTGAAAAATACATCATACATGTCCTTTCTGTGAACTCCAAAATCTGACTGTAT